AAATTGATTTTAACCCATAACGAAATTCAACAATGTTTTTTAAATAATGCTGAAATGTTAATATTTGGTAACATTGAAAAAAAGAAAAGATATGAAATATGTTTAGATAAATGTGTATAGTTTTTTCAACAGATTTTATTTTTCTAATTTGTGTTTATTTGTCACGTATGTATATGTAGATGGAAGACTAAAGTTTTATAATCAGAAAATGAAATTTTCATAATAAATTCCATTGGATGTAAGCTCATTTTATCATTGAATTTAATTTGAAAGGAAATACAAACCCTTCAGATAATTGACTGAAGTTTTCCTGACAACTTTAATTTACGTCTGTTCTATATCATGAATAAGTATAATGTCCAATCACTGAATGACTTTGATTGATATCTTTATTTCATATTAAATTATATGAAATAATCAATCGATTAAATCAGACAAAATTTTCTAATAGAACTTGATGAACAATATAATAGATGACTTCAACAATATACTGCCCAGCCAAATTCGAAAGATTAAAAAATGCTGTGTCTACATGCATGATATGCTTGTTCATGACATACGCGTGAACGTGTCAAAAAGTGAACTATATCTTCGATTACATACAATAGAAATATGTGCATGTATATCGGAGCTGTCAATCTGGTCAAAGTTGTTGTTCCAAGTGTGATGTAATATTAATTTTTCCAATAGCCAATTTGAAACATGAGATGGCTCCACAAGTTAATGATTTTGCTCAGCAACTTCGCCATTTATAATTGGGATATGGGTGAGACATTTTTCTCTTAACCACATTCACACTCTATTGCGAAATTGGATAGTTGAATGTAGATTTCTTCCCCTGTTGTTATTATTCTCTCTTATTCCGTATATTTTTCTTGTATATTCTCTGTGAACTTTTCCTTGTTTGCCTTATCATATGTTGTTGTTTTTTTGCGAATTATGTGAAACAGTACTGATACCATCACAATTTTTTTTTAAAATTGAAATCTTTATTGTGTGAAAAATATTTATAATGGTTGTCTTATTGTTTTAATTTGTTATTTTTTTTTTAAGAACTTGTTATGTTATCATCTTTATGAAAAGAAATTAAATAGATAATTGAGATTGATCCTATAAATTAATGCAGAGTTAGAAATATAATGAATCTGAAAAGTTAGAAACATTTATCGGTCTAGGTTGATCCACAGATCAGACTGCAAAAAAAAAGGAATCTATAGTAGTTTTTTCTCAGAGAAAATATTTGAACATATATATGTTTTGTTTCATAAGACGAACTTTTTCGTCATTTGACTATATCCACTTACATTAGAAGTGCAATCAAAATTGAAAGATATTATGATGGCCAGAAAACTATAAGGTATATGTGTATATGAATGCTAGCAACTGTGAAAAACTTTTGAAAAGTGAAGAAGATTTTTGAGTCAATATGATTTGGTTTTATAGAAGAATGATCTCATATTAATGAAAAATAAATTAATATGCGTCGAAGAAAATACTTAACTCTTTACATGAATCAGAATGTACACTGATTTTGTACTATGCTTCTGTGATCTTTTCAGTGTTCTTATGCCTATCTTTCGCGAGAAAAAGACTTATGACTAACACCTGTCGGTTCAATTGAAAATCATGTTTTCCAAAGCCCGATCTGGTTGATGGAAAGTTCGTTCTCATTCCGTTGAATGTAGAATTTAATTGTGAATAAATAGATATGACTTTTAATTTGAACAATGAAAACTGCTATGTGATTTGTAACAACAGCTAGACAGAAAACAGATTTTTCCATGTGTTTTTTTACAGAGAATATAGTGGCATAGTTAAAATTTCAGTGAGACTGTTATTAAAATCTGACATTACTTTTTCGTTTTCTATCCTTTGCAGTTGGACGATTGAGCAGCACTTTATTTTTGAATTTTCTGCGAATAAGCTCAAAGACAGAGAACAAAAGTGATTGGTTTTATCTGAACCATCCGCTCATATGCCAAACGACGGATCCAAAGCAATATTTTCTATTGGAAAGCGAAATTAAAATTTTCAAACATTAATCAATGATCCAAACGGTATCAAAACGATGGAATATAAAATTTACAAATAATGTCTTGCTTCTCGAGCTTTGTCTAACATCGTTGATGTATGCTCTGCATATTCAAAAGTAGTCAATGAAGCAATAGAAAACACGCCATTACATATTAGATTAGAATGTTGAATCATTTTTATTCATCTTTTTTTAATCTGTGATGTTAATTATCGACTTAACTTTAATATTCACCTTCCACAGCTTATGAAGGCTTTCTGAAAAACAAAATTGGTTGTAATGTGCGTAATGTGTCTAAGATAAGATTATTGGAGAATTTATTTTAATGACTTTTTCCCTATGTCACACTCTACTTTTAATTTCTAAATCGTATTAAACGTATCAAATATGAGTGGTGATAAGTTTTCAATTTAATTACAAAAAAACACTCCAATGTGATAATTTCATACGTCACGAAATGCTATTACATAATAAAACAAAATATGCACCCAAATGTTCACATTTACGATTATCTTTATTTTTGTTTTAGACTAAACATCAAGAAATATAATTAATGTATATTTAATAAAGCGATCAAATGGAGACAATATTCAAAATATCAACGAATCAAATAAATTGTTTTTTGATGCATATTATGCAATAAACACCAGTTACACAGTCATAAACATGCGATGATCTTTTTAATCACGTATTAATAACTTATTAAGCGTCAATACATCATAAGTAAATCAAAACAATGAAAGTGATATACAAAATGAAAGAAATACGAAGACGATAATAAGAATTTAGTAGTTTTTCTTATGTATTTTGCAATCATCACGGATCTCAATGATCTAATTTGTATAGGAACAACTGAAATTTGTTTCAATCAGCTATTACATTATAGATAACGAGCCCAAGATTAACTTGAATCATAATTGAAAAACGCTTCATTTTCAGAAAAATGTTCAACATATGATTCAGTCATATAGGAGACATCATATAATTTGTTAACCTTAGTTTTCGACTAGTTATTCAATTGATATAAAAAATCAAATAGATCTTTTACATTAAATGTCAATTTTTTATTAGCAAAAACAAATTTGTTGTTTTAAATTAATGAGTGTTATAAGGGCATTTTATTGCATATTAATAGAATACAGATCCTCGATCTGTTTTTTTGTTCTACTCTCTTGTAGAGCTGTCCATAAAGAAGATCCGAAATAGAAATAGCTTTTCTTGACTGCTTTTTCAGTACCAAAATATTCTGTTTCCATCGCCATATCATAACATGTTTAAATGAATAGTAAGTTCAATTTCAGGGAATCATATGAATAAATGATATAGATATTCTGATGATAATATGGACAATACTGGACAAAAATTTTTGGATGATCTTTTAAATTGAATTATTTTTGTCCAGAGTTACTCCAAAAAAGAAACTGAACCTATATCAATGCAAAGAGAAGAACACGAGCTACAGTTTGGTAATGAAAATTTTTTACGAGCATTTTCTATATAATATAACGTGGTCATTTTACAACAAGCAACATATAATGTTCATGTAAACTGTTTATCATCTTTCTAACGGGTAGTTTTACTTTCCAAATATCATATTCGATCAAATATCAGACACAAAAAATTTTTCAAAAAGTGATCTCTCAAAAATCGAAAACAACTTTTGTGAAACTTCAGACTATCTGCCACTTTATCCAATGTCTGACACTTTTTCAAATGCGATATTTGGAAAGTAAAATTATTCATTAAAAAAATGATAAACAGTCTTCATAGATATTATGTATTATTTGTCGTAAAATAGGCGCATTACATTATAGAAAATATGTTTATAAAAAGTTTTAGTTACCAAAATATAGTTCATATTCTCCTTTTTGCATTTATATGAATTCAGTTTCTTTTTTCGAATAATTCTGAAATAAAAATAACTCACGAGGAAACGATCTCAACTGTCAAATAGATTTTTGCTTGAGACTATAGCCACTCAATCGTTCATGATGAATTATGAAAAAGTCTAGTTTACTTTGGTTTTCCGATCTTCGCTTGTTGAGTTATGAGGATTTTATTCGAGTTTTGCTCGTACGAGGCAAAATTCGAGTAAAACATCTATAATTCAACAAGTGAAGACCAGTAAACCACACCAAAACAAAATTTCTCTCTACTTATCGTGAACGATCGAATTGGAATAGTCTCAAGCGAAAAGCAATTTTACAGTTAGGAAAGTTCTCTCGTTAGTTCAAAAAATCGTCCGGAAAAATGTTGCCTAATATTGTATATATCGTAAAGCTACAATACTCATATTGAATAACTCTCCGAAAATTACACACTTGTAAACATACAGTTATATCTAATATAATATCTCTCTGATCAGCCGCTAATATAAAATATAGTACAACAGAACAATTAGGACAAAAATAGTTCATCATAAGAAACAAATATAATAATAGAGATTGACACAAACAACAAGAAGATAATAATAAAGTTCGCAGCACGATGTGTCATTATCTTCTCACTCTCA